GACGTGGCCACCTTTGCCTCATTGGTGTATGCGTCGCTGGTAGTTGCCTGTGCCAGATCTGTTCAAAGGGAAAGTGATATGATCCAATGATGTTATTGGTTTTGGGCTTATCAGCACTTTTACATTGATGTACGCAAAGAACCATTCCAAAAATAGCAGGTGGTGTTCCACGGATAAGCGTTGTGTTCTGACACTCGCAACGGGGTAGGTTCGCAGTACACAAAACTCGCAAAAAGCACATTCAATAAGGACATAGAAGTATGGGCTTTTTCGCATCTTTCTTTCACTCCTCTTATTGGAGATATATAAATAGATATAACATAATTCTTCACAAATGCTGTGCAAAACTATTCATGGACTGAAAGAGAAATACAGAAGCAGGACAAAAAACGGCAAAGAGGAAACGATCAGTAAGGAGTGAAAACGTTTTCATGCTTGTTCCATGTACGCCATTTCACCATTTCATCTTTTTTGCTTTTAGCATTGTAGGCTGTAAAGGGTATATTTCCTTCATTCGCTTTGGTACAATGCCATGTCCCGCCGTGTCTCCACATATTGACAATTTGAATCCTTTAGAAACAGCAGCGAAACCAGGTCCGATCAGCTTTTCTTCAACCCTCTGAACGGGCGATGGTGGTCCGATTGTAACGCCACAAATTATCACCACGGAGGACGTGTTTGAATCCCACCACCACCGTTTGGCTTTATCACCCCAAGTGTTGTATGTCAGACCTGTGATTGGTCGTTTCTCCCTTCGTGATAACTGTATCATTGTGCATTCAATAAAAGTAAACATGAAAAAATGAAATTTTATAACCCCAGTATAAAATTAGGACGTCAATTTTCAGGTAGAGGGAAGTGGCCAATCAGAGGGCTGACAAATGATGCCAACAGAATTGGGAAAATAAGATAGCGGTGGTTGGGTTCGAACACGAAAACTACAGATCAATATGGAGGTGACCAACACCGCCCACTATAAAATATTTGGCGATTTTGAAGAGTTCCAAAGCTATCGGCACACAAATTTAAAAAAACTACTTCCTGAAGGGGAGTGAAGCATAGTTCGCAGTTCAAGAAATACGGTTTCAGAGAGCATTCCATCTACAAGTGAATTTCATGCGTTTTGGAGGTTATTTGTTAATCACTCATAGGTGATGCAAAAGAAAAACAGCAAAACGAAGTTTCTGTGACGAACACTTCCATGGGCAACACACTAGTTGCTTAACTAACTAACTAACTTCATGAAATACGATATAACACAACTTGGGTTGAAGCACTGATAGGGTATTAGTTGTAGTGAGAATCTTTCGTTTTTGAGTCGGTCTAGTGGTCACAAGCAATTTCCATTACACTAATCATGCATCGTTTTTTATTCCATTTTAGTTTTCATACTCGTGATGAGAGACTAATAAAGCGTAGCTTGCAGGCCTGCCGTGTTTCTCAGACGTCACATATTTGATTACAAGTTGATGTGGTTCTATTGTAATTTATTACTCTCGAATTCCATAGATTACGCCCTCAATTAGAACGTTTTGGCTTTGATTTCATCCCTTCGGATGACGCTAAGCGATGGAATCATTGCTAACGGAATTTCACTGCTGTTTCATCCAATATTTGAACACTGACCGACAAGAAAAGCTGAATCAATAAACCTCGGCCGAAGTTTCCGAATACTTATCGGAATGCGGGACTTTTAATGATACGATCATCTTATTGAGGGGGTTATACGTGCGTCCAAAGTGTGATGTTTTTTTCAGGTATGCATTGGCCACTTGTTACCAGCAGCCCAAGCAGAGTTCCTTAGTTCTATGTCAAGCTGAATTCTTGGTTAAAGACAGTAAGCTCAGGTTAGTTTCAGCAGAACAAGACAATCTGGTAACCGGTATGTAAGTCTGCCACTCACATAAAACTCTTTGCATCCTGTACTCAGTACTTTTTCCCCTCGTATCCACCACAGAAACAACATCCTTCAAACATCATGTTCATCGCCCTCATCACTATTGTACAGCGAAATACAGTGAAGCGAACTTCATTGATCGGTGTCAGATTCACAAAACACACAAAGGAAAAGTGAATCTACGCAGTCAACACAGAGTACACAGTATGAACTTGTGTACATACCTGTTCAAGCATTTTTACCTGATAAGAAGGACAGTACCGATTGTAAAGATTTGTTGATATGTCCTCCAGTGCACCCAGCAAACTACATACGGGGTCTCTTGTGCTCCTGCTTGGCGGACGAGACAATTGCAATACCCAATCGTTTTGTGTACTTCTGTATGCCTCGTTTTCACAGCATCAGTTGGCTTTCTCTAACCCAGAGTAGTAACTGCAAATAAGGCGCTGTACGGTAGACAACGGTTCGGCAGGGACAAACTATGCCCCAACCAGCGAAGTTTACTATCCTGTATTCGATCAAATAACGATTTTCGATCGATGCATTACCCAAAACACGACGGATACCTAAACCGCACACTCTACCCTACCCGCTCAAAAGTACGTATCTATTGTCGAAAGCCGCTAGTTGATGGATATTTTGTATTCGCACGGTCTCAGGACCGTAAAGCAGAACTGATCAAATAGTGGCACAATAAAGGCAACCCATCAACTTGAGTAAAACGTCAGTTCTGCCGATTTTGATTGTTGTCTTCATCGGATCACACGCCCTTCGGACGGAGTCAAACGTCCAAGGTGCCCAATACACTTCGATCCCCATTGAGNCATTGAGCCGGTGACCACTGCGACGACCGAGGTGTGTTTGGTTTGTAGGCCTCCTGTTGGTTGGTTTGGAATCAGGGTTTTTAGCAAACTACTCTAGGTGAACTGCCAGTGGTTCACCAGCCCGATTACAGCCCCTGATGNGCTTTCGTCCTATCACTTTGGTGGGAAAACACCTCGACCACGAGAAGGCAGTGAGTAGGGCTTCCTCAGCAGAGGCTATTTGAGACGCTTGGTCGTATGGGAGCATTTCGTGAGTTGCAAAGGGGTGTGTGACCAGTCACAACCCAAGACACCCACCCCGACCATACTGAGACTTTCGGAGGCTAGTCGATAACTGTTATTAATACATATTCTAGGTGCGGGAGAACAACTGCCTTGCCATAAGGTACGAAACTAACATATTCGTCCAAGGCTTGCAGAGGCTGGATCGGAAAAGGTGAGGGCCATGTGCCGACTGCTGTTGTCCAACAGTCTGTTTTCGTATAAACGGAAGAACGGTCCTGATTAACAGTTTATGTTGGATGGGAGTTATCTAGGGTAGATGTAACCACTCTAGCAAAAAAACAGCGGCCATCAGGAGAACGGTTATAATAATCATCGTACAGTGAAAAACCATTAAGCGAACTTCATTCATAATGCATAAAAAGCAAGTAAGGTGTGAGGTAGACAGAGACTTCGAATATTTCTACTAAGGGGAAAGTGAACCTCTATGGTTAACACAAAGAATACACAATCTCCCTATGCACACACCTTTTCCAAGCATTCTGGTTTGATAAGAAGTAACAACAAGAACGCCACTATCGTCGGGTTGTTGCTGTGTTCTTTAGTGTCTCCGATCAACCAATTACAGATTCTTTTGCATTGCTTTATGTCTCGTTTCCACGTAGTTTTCTCAAGCCCGGAGTAGAGACTAAGATTAAAGCGCTGTACAGTGGGCGACCCTTAGGCATATGCAAAACCCGTCCTAACCACCGAAGTTTATTAAACTGAATTCGATGCGACAGCGAATTAGCCCCTACTAAACTCACAAACACAAGACCACATACATCTAGGTTATTAACCCGACCACTCCATCCAACCTGGGTCAAATTACGTAAGCATCGATTGTCAAAAACCCCGGACGACGGATGTCTTCTACCCTTAAATTCAAGGTCTTAACCGTAAAGCAGAAATGGGCGAACGATCAAGCAGTATACGCAACTTTTTGACTTCAATGAATCGTTAGTCGCAACAGGTGTTTGTCCTGCGTAAGCTGCTCCAACCCTGGAAAAGTGTGCGACTACCTCATTTACTGCACTACCATTGCTAGTCAAGCAACTGCCAAAGTAAAAGAGGCAATCAACTTCAGCTGATTCCTGGCCGTCTAAACTAATAACAAGACTAGTCGAAGCCCATTCTTGCAGCATCACCTTGCGCT